CAAGATTTCCTTTGTCTTCTGGATTGGGTTCAAAATTACAAGACTACGGAGTTGAACATTAGTAGTCGTAAATTTTAATTTTATGCTTTCGCATATTAATTTTATGCTTTTGCATATTAATTTCATGCTTTTTGTCAATCTATGTCCCTATGTGATTCCTTGTTTTAAATTTTCAATCACTTGTGTTCCTAGAGTATATATATAAATGTCTTTTTTTTTGTCTAAAAAAAATTCCCGGAATTTGATACCTTAAGAACTGTGGTGCCGGCTGTGATTATATTCTGAGTTACAAACATTTTATGTTTAACCATGTGAAATTGTTTTTCTTAACCTTGTACCCCTACTGAAAATGTGACATCACTATCTCTTCTGATTGATACTGTTTATTTCCTTTGTAATGTTTGTTTATATTTAGCTCATTTCTAAGTAACACTTTCTGGATTTCATATTTAATATTCTACCTATTTGTGAACCGATTTGAAAATTTTGAATATGCTTGCTTATGTGATTGAACTGTTGCGCGCACTTCGAATTTTCGGAGTGTCCCCGGATGCTCCCTTTCGGGGGTGGGGTGGGGTTAAGCTAGTTATTACTAGTCGTAAACCCAAAATTTGGTCGGCTGTTCAACGCCTGTTAGACTTAGAGGTTGGGCAGCTCCGAAGGGCGGGGCGCATCAACTAGAGGTCTATTGTACCCAAACCCTAAATCATGATTAGCAAGAAAGCCCTATAGCTGAAATAAAATTCAGCAAACACCTTACCGGAACATCCTGTAATTCCCAGGTTTTAATGCAATGTTGCCCCAAATCTTTGAGCAGAATAGACCTCACAATCACAAAGTATATGTCGTGATGTCTCTTCTTCAAGATGTATCTCAAGAAAATATTCGTGGTTGAAATCCACTGTTGTTTTTTTCTATACTAACAGTTGTTCCGGTGAAAGTGTGTGCTGATTGCCCGAAGAAATAAAACTGGTGCAATTCGGGTCAAAATTTACCGGCAATTTAACTTTTTTTTCGGTGTCAGTGGTGTCTTCTTCTAGCCTACATAAAATGAATCCCAATCGGGCGTCTTTACTATTTTGCTCGCTATCCTCAATATGAAGTAACGTATTAGGTATTCTACAACACTTTTGACACAAAAGTGGCAAAATCTATCAGAATTTCAAACAGTTAAAACAAAGATCGCTTCATTTTTTCAAAATTGAACCAATCGTTTACGGAGAAAATTCTGAATATTTGTACAAACCGTGGAATTCATCTTTATTGCATTTGAAACACTTAGTTTTCGGCGCATTGTATTTAATGTAGTTATGCATGCAGCCTTTTGCTGAATTCGTAAGTTAGGGTGTTTTTTAGCTTCTATATTTTTACTATTTTGAAGTGATCACATGCATGGTTTTGCAGTTGCTCCAAAGTTTCGAATAAATCAAAAGCTTTGGAATCTTTTTTTCCACCAATAACGAGATCTAATTTTTCAATTAAAAATGCTATCATAATTTCAGTTAAGTTTTTTATTTTATAATTTTATGAACCCAAAGGTACCGTACCGGTACTATTTGGAACTGCGTACTGATTAGGCAAGCACGTAGTTCTAATTATAAGCCTAAGAGAATTTTAGGCAAGGAAAAAAAACAAACAAGAATAATAGCAGTTGCTTAACAGTTATAAGATCTGCTTAGTAATCTGTACATAGTTTTAGTTTTTCTCTATCCTTATACTACAGGAGGTACAACACACGGTGCACCATATTAAAATAATGTTTCATTTCCATTCAAAAAGTATTTTCTGAGCGAACCAATTTATATAAAGGGAGACTGTAGGAACCTAGTGTATAAGAAGTTTAACATTTTCTTCTTTTGTTTGAGGTTTTTTAGAATATGAGTCTTCGGAATTATCAGATAATGCGTATTATCAGATATCGTCGCTTTGAAACTAAACCGTGGAAACTCAAAAAAGCAAGTTTCTCAGGAGAGCGATTTCTAACTTTCAAGGAACTTCCACCGCAGGTTGACTCGAAGCTATGACGACTATTGCAAAATAGTTTACATTAAAAAAAAACCCTGTTTCTTTACATTTTTCAATGAACCAGGCCTGATTCTTGTAGCATTTCTAATGTTGTGGTAATTTCAAAATAAGTTGAGGGACTTTGAGTTGCAACACTTTTCTCTAAATCTTTTATTAAAAGTGGAGAGTTATTTCAAAATACAACGATGTTCTTCAAAATATCCTCCCGAATATTACATATTTCATTTCAAATTTTGACATACAACAGTGTAAGAAAAAAATCGCTCTCCAGAAAAACTAGCTTTTTTGAGTTACCACGGTTTAGTTTGAAAGCGACGTTATCTCCTCCAAGGTTTTGTTGCAACTGGCACACTGTTCCCTAAAACCAAGACGGCGAATTGCGCCAATTCGCGATTTATCTGCTCTCTAAATTAATTTTATGAAACTATGAAGATAACACGTTGTTTCTCTAAAAGGGTGATTTTTTTACACAAAATGACCCAAATATCTAATTTTTCGATTTTTTTGAGTTACTGCGGTTTAGTTTCAAAACCACGATATTGCGCGTGAATTTGTCATTACTCGATATTTCCAGCTGAAATTTTATGAATTATGTGATAAAGTTGTTCATAAATTTCACTTTGATTGTTATTTTGTTTCATATTTCTTTAAATATATTTCATAAAATGTGCCTTAAATATTGCAATCTAGGTTTCTGATGTATGGATGTGTATACATGTGTTTACGTATGAATGTGTTTGTGTGTAACAGTAATTTGGGAAATATGGTCCTTATAGTTCGGACATGAGAGTGATCCAAAGTTTAGACCCTTTAATTTTATTTTTGTCTATATCTAGCTTTTTAAGTGAATTTAAGCAATTTTGATATGATTATAAATTTTGTTACACTGAAAAATATAACTTTTAGCAAATATTTCTTTTTTAAAAATTTAACTTTAGAATAGTCAAAAATTAAATTTCGTGTTATATATTTATGCATAGCTTTTAGGAATGTAATTTTTATGGTAAAATTCAAAATTTGAGCGAAATTATTCGAATAGTTACTGAAAAATCTAATCTTTAAAAATAAGACTTTTTAAATTTTTGATTACTCAGATATTGATATTTAACCGTTTTTATTTTGCCATATAAAATTACATTCTTTAAAATGATGCAATTTTGCAAATGACGCAAATTTTTTCCGACTATTGTTAAATAAAATTATAAAGTATTTATTAAATATTTTTTGCGCATGAAATTATCTTTGGGTAAAAAAAAATCAGAGTTGTGTTACGCAATGGTGAAGTTCTCGTCGAATAATTTGTTTGCATTTTCGATATTTTTAATTCTTTTCATCAATTGAAACTCTATAACTTACTCTAGATTTGCCTCAACTCAAATTTTCTAAACTTAAAATTTTAAGTTTTAAAGTAAAACCAATCAATTTCAATCTTCAAAATTTTTAAAAGTTTTTTAAATGTAGAAAATTTTATAGCTTCAGTTTATTGGGATTATTTATTTAACCAACAAAGTATTTTCTTAAATAATAAATTTTGTTCCCTTAGACATTAAAAAGAAATTTAAACAGTTTTAGTATGTTCATATTTTTTCATAAGAATGAGAAAAATATTTTAGACGAAAGGTTGCTTTAAAGCTATTGTGAGTTGTTCGGTGCTCCATTTATAAAATTATATTCGATACTGTTATAATATTAATTAGTATCGATGTAATCAATGTTATTTTGAGATTTTATTTAGAACAGTTTTAATTGATAATTATCTTTTGTTACTTTTAGATTCATATCTATGATGGATAAAGTTATGAAAATGAAATGTGAAAGAAATTCGGGAAGCCGACTCCGCTTTAAAATCCCGTTTTTCTATAGAAATGATAGACGCCTTGAAAGGTTNTTTTAATTGATAATTATCTTTTGTTACTTTTAGATTAATATCTATGATGGATAAAGTAATGAAAATGAAATGTGAAAGAAATTCGGGAAGCCGACTCCGCTTTAAAATCCCGTTTTTCTATAGAAATGATAGACGCCTTGAAAGGTTAGTAAATTTCATTATTATTAATTTTTAAATAAATACTTGCAGAAACACTTATTAGTGAATGAACAAATTTTTCATATTTTTTTCTAATAATATTAAATAGGGTGCTTTTAAAAATAGATCCAATATATTGAATTCATAGAATATGAATCCTCATTTTATAAATCCTTACAATATTATCCTTATTTTATGAATCCTTATAAGAATAATTTCTTATTAATATGCTCATTTGATTTGTTTCTGATAACATTAATAATTATTCCGCTTTATCATAACTAACTAAACAGTTATCTGAATATCGATAAGCGTTATGTGATTTTTCTCCAACTATTCTGCCAGTTGCCTAATTTTGTAATTATTTCTCGCAACTAAATTAATTATTTTTTCTTCATTTATTAATATTTTGGATCCAGTTTTTTATTTTTGAGAATCAGTTAAAATTCAGTTTCTGACTAGCTAGCTTGTGCAATTTTTGACCACTTACTGAAAGAGGGTTACTTACAAGTTTTTCGCTGAGTAGATTTTATTTATTTTGTTTCATCCCAGTTGATTTGTTTTGAATTGAATAATTTTATTTAGAATTAATGTTCAAATAATTAATGATTGAATAATGAATAATCATATTTTAATTGACTGATATTAATATTTGATTAAGTAATATTTTAATTAACTATCAATGAGTTAGTACTAATTGATTACTCCTTCAATTGATAATTTTTATTTAATAATTAATATTTGATAAATTACTACTTCATTTGCTCAGCACCTTTAGTTTTGAGCGGTGACGTCATCACGCAATGAATGTTAGTTTCTCTTTAATTTGAGTTTGGTTTCATGTTAAATTGAGCACATGACACATATGCGGTGATATTCATGAAATCATTTTAATTGTTTATTTCAAAGATGATAGCTAAGTTTATTATGCATTTCTTTCAGGCAGGAAACACGGGATAGGGCTCGTGACTATCTTCACGCAATGTGGCGCTCCAATCACTCTTCTCCAGAAGAGTCTGACTCTGAGTCTCCTGCAGAGTCTCAAGATCTAAATGAGGCCATCCTGATGGTAAGGGTGAAATTTAAAATGTTTCTTTTCTGCTGTCTTCTACTTGATAGATATTTTTTATGTTTTTCATACAATTACCATCCAATCCCACCTCTTCTCAAACTAACCAATCTCACTAACTATTGATGCAATGATTGAATGAATGCCAATCAAAATGAATTCAGGATCTTACAAAAAAATATAATTAACAGAAAAAAATATGCGAATATTTTGTGTAGACGATATTTCAGGACATGTAAGATATTTTAAGACATTCTACATATGAATTTTATAACCCAACATTATACATTCATTCTGCAGTAATTGACATAATTATTTAATTTCCTACTCTTCAACTCTTAAGAGTATTCGGCAAAGCAGATTTTGAGATATTTTTTCATTGTTTGTATTTTATTAACTTTGTATTTCTTTTAAAATTATCTACCTCTTGCTTCGCTCCATGACACCAAGCGATGATTTTTTGATCGTTTAAACAGAATGTTACATAAAAATTATTCAATCAAAATAATTCTGAATAGTGTGCATGAAATCTCAATGAAACTTATTTTTCGATCAAACTGCGCAATTAAATACTCACTGTACAAATTGGTGCAGCATCTGATTGGTGCAGCATCTGATGACGCATGAGAAGCATAGTACAAAATTTACTATGCATGTTTGCCTGCGCAACCTATTAAAGTGAAAGTCGGATAAGATAAATATAAGGGGTCCCTTAATTAGTGTTCTGCCCAAGGTCACATCTTTCTTCATTTGTGCCTTTTATTTTGTAGGAGGATCTGTACCTGACTGACTCATCAGAGGAAGCAGTTGCAGCCGATGATGCACTCAACAGGTTAGTTACTATACTTTGAGTAAATGTTTACAGCACAAAATAAATAACATTTGGTCTTTGAGCACTTGAAAATTCAATAAATAATCTTAAAGGTTTGAGAGCTCAATCATACAAATTATTTAGAGATGATGATAGTTACAAATACAGACACGGAAAAAAAAGTTTCTCTGAGTAAACATACCTTTTATTTCGATAGGTTAGGATTTTTGACTCTTTAAATAATAATAGCCACACAATATGTAGTGCAAAACAGTGTACCAATAGTATAGGCAGACTTCTTAGAAATAATTTCACTTTTTGCTTGCTTCATTATGTCTTGAAAACTTTTGAAGCAAATTGAACAATTTTATCTCAAAATTATTTCAAACTCGTTTGCGCAAAGATAATTTCAAGAAAAAAGTTGGTAATTTTATTTAGTATTTATTATTTTTATAACTTTATTTTATAATAGACAAAATTTTGAATGGTACGACATGCAGAATATCATATTTTAAAATACAAATACTTAATTTTAAATAACAATATATGACATTTGAACGAAATCGATAAAATAGAAATAAAATTTGCAACATAAGCTATACGACCTACTTTTTCTGAATTCTATATTTAGTTATTTAAATTTACATATTTTAAAATGATGTTAAAATTTGTTTATACCTTACAATCTCTTATCAAATTTTATTTAATAAAGTAATGAAAAATAATTATTAAGAATCATATTTTATCTGGAATTGTGTTTGAATATATGTATTTAATGTTTATGAGCAAAAGTATTTTAATTCGTTGAAATAGCTCTCGTTATAAAGAAATATGCAAAAAGTGAAATTAACAGTAAAGGTTCTTTCGATCGCTCTCTTATATGAACTATTTGGACCATTGTTTCCAGATTGCTCTCTACCATTTCTCTGACAATCTAACAGGTTTTCATGAAAAGTTTAAAGCATGAAAATCTGTTTGATTGCCGGAGTAAATTGAAAACAAGTAGGAAGGGACTATTAATATCACTTTTAAAGTTCATCCGATAAACAAAGTCATTTACTTGTTTTATATGCAGCTTTTCAAATTAGTAATGTTTATCATTTTCGCAACATTTTTCACTTTTTCCTCACATGAGTTTGTGAAAACATGTCTATGGGTCGGGATAGCCAGGTCGGTAGAGCGCTGGACCTATGTCCGAGGGTTCGTGGATTCGAACCCCGCCGGCTGAAGACTCCCCGTGTAGTAAAATGGTGCCCTCTATGCTCCTATAACAAATCAATGCCTCTGAGGGTACTGAATTGGAGATTGATCGTTCTCTGATTTAGGTCAAAATTACGTCTGTGGATGAATGAATGGATGCATGAATGGATCTTACCCTATAAACGGGTGTGACGTATGGATGTGGTAGAAGTCGAATTCTTGGCAATAGTTGTCGCCACTGGAAAACAAGAACAATCGCACCCCTCTGCCTTAACAGGCATGCGCCAACATCAACAAAATGTTGTTGTTGTCTTTCTATTATATTTTGGACAGGGATTCTAAAAATACAATGTACCAAGGACGATGATTACTAAACACCTTGTATATTTATTGATAAATTTAATAAAGAGTCGGTCAGTAGCACACGAAAAAAATAAAAGAGTAAATAAAAAATCGGAGAAGGTTAGAAATTTGAATCGGAGAAGATAATTAGAAGGTTAGAATCAGAACCTCCTCGAATATTTTCTACTTGCTCAATAAAGGTAATTAAAAAAATGGGGGAAAAACAGGTTTAAACTTGAAATAATTTTTTCTATTTGATAATTTTTGAAACATCTCTTTGTTTAAACAAAAATCAGGTAAACAAGACTCTGTTTCGTAACTAAGGACATTGGTACGATCAGATTTTCAAAAAGTGCTTTTTGGAGAAATACGTTTTTGAATTTTTGCCGATGCTTTTTGTTACAGATAACACCTAAATGAGTACCCGAGAGTCAACTTTGTCTGGAATATTTAAGAGTTTTTACGCATCATTTGCATTTGAAAATTGCGAAGAGTTTTTAATGACAGTTGCCCTTTATAAGCAAATTTTCTATAATTAGCGAAATAGAATGTTTATTCTCTTGTTCAAATTGTGAGATTTGAAATAAGAATTCCTTTGTCTGTTGACATTTTAATTATAAAACTTCATGCATTAAGGATTTAACATTAAAATTTTTAATAATATTGAATAATATAATGAATAAATATTAAAATGCAGTACTTTACTTTTTTTTAAATAAAATTAAAATTCTTTTTTTAAAAATAAAAAAATGAAAATAATTAGTAGAGATTTTCTAAACTTCACTACGTAGGCTATTTATTTGTAAATATGACCAAATTTTAAAAATTTTCCAGAACGCAAAAATTCGATAATCATTTGTTTTATTTGAATTCACTTAATGATGTGTATAATCATTAGATTTGATTTCAATTTATGTAAAATTATTATTCAATATATGTTATGCTAATTATATTGTTTTTCCTTGCAGGCAGATCACTGCAGATGATCTGGAGGACTTTGATCTTGATAACATCTTCACGCCCAGCAGAAAGAGGAAGGAAAGCCCTGTTGTAAGCTTATTTTTATTTTGTATTTAAAATGTGGAAGGCTAAAGGAAGAATAAAATAAATAAATAAAAATTATAATACTTTTTTTGGCCATATTTTGTTCCATACTATTATATATATTATGCAATTTTATTTAAGCACAAAAAAACTCCCCAATAAATATATATAAAATTGATACTCAAATATAAATTATAAATAAAAATATAAATATTATAATATAAATAATATCATATAAAGGACGAAAATAAGATAAAAAATATAATATTGTAATATAAATAAATGAAAAAATATAAATTATAAATAAAAATATTAATATTATAATATAAATAATATCATATAAAGGACGTAAATAAGATAAAAAATATAATATTGTAATATAAATAAATAAAAAAATATAAAATTTTTTATTTTCTAAAAGTTCTAAACAAGGGAGGAATCAGCTATTAATTTATGAAAACATTAAAAATAAAGTTGAAAATTATTATGAAAAAAATTTATTTGTAAAAATTTTTTTATTTAAGTGTTTTTAATAAATATGCACTAGTTACATACATGTTTCATGACTGCTTTGTTAAAATAATAATTAACTCTTACTCTAAACTATCTCTATTCCTCGGAAGTACACATAACAGCAATTTATTCTTATTTTCTGATAGAATTCTGCTATAAAGAGCATCTTTTGAGATGTCCTGTTATAGAGATGATTGTTACAAAGAGAATAAACGCTACAGGGAGGATTCAGCTCTGTTATAGAGAGGAAAATGAGTGTCGATTCTGCTTGAATATCTCAAAATTCATATCAACTCCTTTTCTCTTTCAAAAAAAGTTCCGCAGTGGACTCATCACTGGTTTACGGTCTTCTTTAAACTGTGCCAAGTACTCGACTTTATGCAGACTTCTAAGGCGGGAGAATCATCTGTCGATGATTAAAATTGTGATGCGTAAAAACAATTAGAATTTTTTACTTTATTACCTTAACAAAGCAATCAGTGCTACGTAAAGTAATGAGACTTTTAATGGTACTGCTACAGTGTTCCCGACAGATCCGGTTATATATTTTCCGAGTGGTATTCCTTTAATGTGTGATTCTAGGTCATTCGATTTATCGGGTTTTTATTACTTCTAAATGATTCAAAGGCTACGCCAATTTGTAGCAGTTTAGTCATGTTGAGCGTTTTAGAAATTAGGCGAAATGAACCAAAAGTCTGCAAATTTTAGCTTTTAGTTCCCTACGGTTTTTAAAATATTTTGCCGGAGTATCTCTGCTACATTGTCGCTCCTTTAGGAAAGTTATGAAATTGAAATATTTCTTTGGTTTAGTCTTCATTAAATTTTGTGAATCTTAGATAACTGCCATTGAATAAACCAACACGTAGTTGGGCTCTGCTAGCAATCTCATTCTTTTTGTATTTTGTAGAGACCAGAGGATCGCAGAGCTTCTGTCATCGTAAAGCGTTACCCTGATGAAGTGTGCGAGCGGAACGTAGAAGTGCCGCAGTAAGTTTACTTTCCCTGTCATTTGTTTGCTTCCTTTTTGACAATATTTTGCTTCCAATGACTGATTTATGGATGATTCTTTGAAAACATGACAATTCGTAATTTTTTTTTGTATATTTATTTAGTTACATTCATTAATATTTTACAAACAACAGTGTTGTTTATTGATATTTTGCTCAAGAAAACAAAAATTGAAATTCACCGAATTCTGAATGACAGGTAAATGACATATTAACTCAGAAGTTAAGAAAACAGCCATTTTTAGCTTAGTTAGTAACTCAAGAAACTAAAAAAAACAAAGTTTGAAAGTTAATTTTCAATGCAAATAAATTCCAAAAATAGTTATTGTGAACAATTTGAACATACCGTTCTAATCTCTTGTTTTTCTTTTCTCAGTTTATTTTTCCTTGATTATTCCCATGTCTTAAAATAACCAAGTAAAATCAATGTTATAATACTTTACATCGGAATTTTTTTTTATTATGTTATTTAAATTTAAAATATTTCAAATCCTTTTATTTTACAGCTTTATTACATTCTTTAATTTATGCACCCGAGTAAAATTTAAAGACTATGATGGAATTAAATTGTACAGTGATGTTCTTAGCTTATCCTTTGTACTTTAACTACCTGTGTTTTGAAGAAGAAAAAAAATAACCTAAATATGGCCTATATGGGCCATGAATTGCTGAAATTAACTATTTTATCACCTGTTAAAAAAGTCAGAAATAAAACCATTTCGACAGTCCTAGATATAATGAAGTAAAATCACATCGATGTCTACCACTAAATCCAGAAAGAGATTGTTTCCGCCAGTAAGGGAGAATCACGCGATGATCTATGCTCACGGGTTTTGCCATAACCTACTAGAAGGTCTACTCTATGTGGTTATGGTTTTGCACAGTTTGCTTACAAACTGCGATAAATAAATAGAAAGATAACTGCGTAAAAATAGCAGAATAACAGGATATTTTTTTCTTTTTTTTAGTCAGTCAATAATGTGCTTTGAAGCACAGCAAACTTCTGAAAGTACGCATCATTTTTTGATTGCTGAGGAATCCCGCTACTAAAAGTCTAAAGGGTTCAGACCTGGTGATTGTATAGATTTTCCAAATATTTTGCTCTATTTTTGATATTTTTGACATTCGTATTTTTCTTTATACTTTATTACAATGTCAGAAAAAATTTTAAATTAATTTTTTTCAGTAGCAAACTTAGAAACTAAAAAAGCTTAGTTTTACTGGTATTGTTCCAGTAGAACCAAAGCTACGAAACTCTGAAAACTGCCAATTTCACGTCCTGTTTGAAAAAGAAACCTTTTTTTGTTTATGAATTTGAACTTGACTGAAAAGATGGTTGTCCTTAATTCAGAATCTAACAAATTATTATTTATATATTTGTTAATGTTGCTTCCAACTTCCGATTGCATAATAATGTATATAATGATTCGTTTATTATTGAAAAAAAACTTCCTTTTTTAAAATCCTCTGTTTCTATTTTAGGGAGGTGTGTTTTGACAGACACAATTGCAGCCGAATTGAGGAAGAAAATTCAGTAAGCAAAGGATATTCTCTTTTTTTCTTCCTAAATTCGTAATAACATAGCTAAATGCATTACAATAACATACAAATTTGAAGATATTTTCTATTTAAATTAAAAAAAAGAAATATCGCTGATATGCGGCAAAGTATGCCTTATGTTCAGTACGTGTAAAAAAATAAAATAAAAAAAACCACTTTTGATTACTTCTGATTTATTGATTAGATTTTCACGACTCAATTTTAATGATACTAAGAAATCATATTTTAGAGCCTTGCTGGCTCAGAAGATAGAGCGCTTGAAGGCAAATTTTTCGCCTTAATGGAAATGGAATGGAGACAAAGCAACTCCTAGATGAAGTATTACTTCATCTAGGAGTTCCTTTGTCTTCTGGATTGGGTTCAAAATTTCAAAGTCATAGAGTTGATCATCGGTAGTCATTAACTCAAAATTGAGTCGGCTGCTCAACGATGGTTATAAAATAAAATGAAATCACATTTAAAGAAAAGTAATATGTTTAAAATTCGATTTTTTGAGAATTATTCGCCCTATTTCGGTAAAATTTTGCCGAAAAGAATTACATTCTTGAAAATAAATGTAATAAATAAATAAATATAAAAATTTGTATTCCTTGTAATTCATTATCAAATGATAAGAATTTTTTTTTTTTTAGGAAGAAATTACTTCGGATAAACTAATTGCGTGCGAACCTAACAAGTTCTCGTGATAATCGCGAACTGATTCGTTGATTGATTCGTCTGATTGATTCGTTTCTGAGCAACTCTAAAACACAGGCCACGATCTGTTAATCCTAAACAAACTATTGGGATTAACAGATTGTGTTTTAGAGTTGGTCAGGAAAAAAAATATTAATTAAGAAAGTACGCATTTGTTTTAAAACTTAAAATTTTGCCTGCACTATAACCTCTGATTAATTGCAGTGCGTAAAAATCTAATCATTAGATCAAACGTTATTCACGATGTGCCGTTGCTTTTTTCTTATTTTATTGAGTTCATTCAAAATCTAAAGTTTTTATATTTTACTGCAATAAATTTTTTAAAAGCATTTTAATATTTCTAATATGCTCCGAAGGGGAATGCATTTTGAACAACACGTTTTCTTGCATGAATATATTCAAGACACGTATTTGAACTAAATTACAAAAGAAATTTTTCAAAAAAAAAAACAAAAAAAAAAAAGGAAGAAAGAAAATGCTTGATTTTAAATACTCTTATATAATGCGTTTGCGAAATACTAAAAATGAAAAAAAAATCATTCTGTGCAGTTTTAGCTGTTGCTTTTATCATGATTTGGAAATTTTTTTTTGAAAATCAAATTCCGTTTTTATGATGTGTTGTAAGCTGAACCATTTCTTGCTTTTTGTTATTTTGTTTCATATTAAAGTAATACCTATATTTTTCATTTTTAATTATTTTTTCATGAAAAACAATGCTGGTTTACAATTTAAATTTAAAAACTAAAATGAGTGAAATAAAGGTAATCGTGAGCTATTCATCAAACAAAATGATAACTGTCACACTTAATGTAAAGTGACAATTTAATCTTTAATTTAATTTAAACTTAATTCCTTTTTTCAATATAGCAATTTTATTTTAACTTTCTTTTTGACCTCCCTAATGGTCAACGCGGTCTTCCTGTGGGGGAGAATCAACCCCTCCTTCCTTTTTACTTTTATTTTTTAGGGGACTAACTAACCAATCTCTTTCCTTTAATTTTCAAACTCTTCTTTAAATTTAATTGGCTGTAACTTTTCTGGTCCCACACACCAGTTAAGGAATTCTCTTTTCTCGAGCCTTCGGGCAGTTTTTCTCTCCGAGATTTATGTTTTATTTCTCAGCCAGCCTATATTTTAAATTAAATCTGTGAAATTAATTTCTGTAATTTTAATAGCTTCATTTTCACCTTTAATTTTTTTATATTAAAGACCCTCCTGAATTTAAGCTTTCTCGATATGAAGATCTCTTTCTATAGTTAAATTTCTCGTTTTATTATTTTTTTTAATCTTATGCATGACACATCTTATTTCTTTAATCATACATTTCTATTAAATGGCATTCCCAATGGTAATTGTTTTATCAATGATATTTTCTACTAAATACATTGTGAGTTGTCTTGAAATAAATGTTCACGGACCTTAAATTTTATGTGTTTATCTCTTCCTTTGCTGTTCTCATCAAATTCTTCTGTATGTGGTGGGTGGGTTTTGTAATTCTTCTGTTTTGGACATGCTTGTCTAGCAAAAACTAAACTTGTTATTTAATGGTTTTCTTGGGCAGACATCGTAATTCTTTTATATGCTCATATTACATATTGATTTTCATGTTTTATAACAAAATTTAAGATCTTATAATAAATGTCAATTTATTTGTTCCAAGTGCAAAAATAGTTTTTTCTTTGTTTATGCACGCAGAATTTGTACCTGAATTCTCATGCAAGTAAAGATTTTTCGATTTCTCTTTCAGATACTTTCTTCTGAAAATTCGGAACTACGTAATTCGCTTTCCTCCATGGAAGCTGAAAACGTAAGAATTATTTTATTATATTTCATTAAAACTAGAAGTTTTGTTAAAATTAAGTCACACTTTTTTCTCGGTGGATTTTCGTTTCGCAAAACATGGCCAGTATTTTGAAAATGTAATTTTAGTTAAATAAAACGGTTAAAAATTTCAACCTTTTAATCTTTACATGTTGTGTCATATTTAAACTATTAAAAGCAAATCAAATATTTCTCGCACTTGGTTATAAAAAAATTAAAAAAAAAAATTTATAAGCAAAAAGAATTAAAAAAAACCATAAACAATTGTTATTTTATTTTTAATGCAAGGAATGAAAGGTATGAAATTTACTACTTCATTTCAAACTATATTATTTTAGAAAACAAAGATACGGAATTTAGACGAAATTGCTTGGATAGTTTTGAATATTGTCTCTTCGAAAACTAAAATTATTTACTAACAGTGTATGAATTAAACATTTTGAAATGATTGATTAACTACAGTTCCCTAATTCCTCTCATCCTGAAATTTTAATCCATTTCAAACAAAAGAATGGAACAAAAATCTCTTTCTCAATCACTGTTTCCTCATAAATAAAACTTATCAATTTGTCGGAATTCTTTTTTTCAACAATTCAAGTGAGAAATTCTATTTTAATATTGTACGCAAGTCTGTATTACTAGGTTTTTGCCGAATTAATAATTTTAAACTTTATTACACATTTTGTGCGTGGCATGTAATAGAATTTAGGTACATATTGGATACAAAACAATTTCTGTTTAAAGCTATCCATAATTTATTAACATTATAAACTTGGTGTAGCGAGTACGGCATTTTTTGAGATTTCCGTAACTATGACAAAATTTTCCAACCGCACCGTCAAAAAGCTGATATTAATGATGCATGAATTTGTAAATTTGCAATAAGACAAACAAAAAAAATTAAATTTGTTAGTTTTCTGCTATTGTAGCATTTATTAGAGGAAAATAAATGTTTATGCTATTTCAAATAACAATATTATACAAAACAGGGCAATTTTGAAAAAGTCTATTTCTTGCAGAACAAATCTTAATTTAACTCCGGTAGTCCCGCAGTGGACTGACTGATCGTTAAGACACGGTTCCCAGCAAATCACCGAAATCAAGCATCACTGACTGCGGTCAGTGTGCGGGTTGGTGACCACTTGGACCAGTCTGCGTAGGGACCGAAAATGTGCGGTATTGGTCCTCGTTAAACTGTTCTACCGTAAAGAGCTCGACTTCGCGTGCAGAACGTCGGCCTACCGAAGCGGGGGCGCCATCCCCTCTGCAGAGGATCAAAATTGTGATGGCGTGTCTTCGGATCATCCTCAGGGATGTTTCCCATACCGTCGCCAATAGCCCATTGTGCAGCTCTAGTGCGACGTAAATGAACTACAACAACAACAACCCCGGTGCTCATCGAGAAAAAGAAAATATTATTTCGCCTTCTGACTATCCGAACCTTTTCTGTTTATAAGAAGAAATTATCTTTTTTTGTTTACAAAATGAAAAAAAATATTTTTCTTTATTTTTCCGTTGCTCATTCCAAAAGACTTTTGTTGATTACATACCATTATTTTCCTTCTTGGTAACCCATCATAATCAAAATGTTTATTCTCAGTGACGTCATGCAGTTATATTTTAGACTTTTTTGGTTATATGTTTAGGCACATATGTGTATTTGCTTATACCGTCCGTCTCATCTGTCCTTCGGACATACAGCGCATTTATAGTAAGCACATATGTGTGTTTGATTATACCGACCATCTCATTTGTCAGTCATTTACCATATGGCAAGCAGCTTAAATAAGTTGCATCGGGTTGACATAAAATTTGGCATAATTGCTGGTTCGACATTAAACAAAATGCTGAATCTATTTCTTAACCTCGCTACTAAATAATAATTTGTTTGCAGTCTAATATGATAAACAGTATCTTATTTCTTTGAATGCAGTTTTAAAAGCTGTTCATTACTCATGGCTTTATTGAGTGTGAATCTTATCCAAATAATTTCTTTTCATACAGAGGAGTCTGCAAGAAAAGCTCGAAAGAGCGGAGTTAGAAATCGAAAGACTATCGCTAGAAAATAGTCTACTTATGGACAATCTGCCGGAAGAAGAAACTGAAGAAGTTGATGTAGGTTCACCTCTATCTTTAATATCATTCTATTTAATTAAAACATTTGTAGACACGGAAATACATATTTTCTCTGACTATGATTTCTCATCCTTTTCTTTTTTTTGCCCATGCTGACGCGTCACATGAAATTCATACACAGAGAAACATTGTGAACATTAAGTATGATTTTTGTTATCTGAATTTTATAATTTCATATAACCATCAACGAAATATTTCAAAATTATGACCATAATTGCGCCAGAGTGCTTTTTCTTTTTTACCACAGCACACTCCGTTCGGTATCTAAAAATGTCCAAATTCTGTTTTATAACCTCAAGTACTAGTTTCACTAATTGCTCCACTCGGGAAATGTGCTAACGACGAGTTTTCATATCGACAGCCAAGTGTAAATGGCGATAAAAAAATCTGAATATTGTAAACATTTATCCATATTACTGGATGCGAAACTGAATTTCAGACTTGCCTGGAGAAATTTTTTTTAACTTGATATGATATAATATATTTCTTATATGAATATATTTTTAATGGATTCCCCTTACTTTATTAATAATCATAGATTATGATCGCGGCACTGAAACTTTTACTCAATGATTGCTTTAATTGTACCCATATTTTAAATTAATTTCTTATGATGAAGGAAAATTAATCTTTGATAAAAAACTAAAGCTTTGTTATGAATGAAAGTTAAGGTAATAAATATTCACTNTGCCAGTCCCGTATCTCCACAGCCTGCCAGTCCCGTATCTCCACAGCCTGCCAGTCCCGTATCTCCACAGCCTGCCAGTCCCGTATCTCCACAGCCTGCCAGTCCCGTATCTCCACAGCCTGCCAGTCCCGTATCTCCACAGCCTGCCAGTCCCGTATCTCCACAGCCTGCCAGTCCCGTATCTCCACAGCCTGCCAGTCCCGTATCTCCACAGCCTGCCAGTCCCGTATCTCCACAGCCTGCCAGTCCCGTATCTCCACAGCCTGCCAGTCCCGTATCTCCACAGCCTGCCAGTCCCGTATCTCCACAGCCTGCCAGTCCCGTATCTCCACAGCCTGCCAGTCCCGTATCTCCACAGCCTGCCAGTCCCGTATCTCCACAGCCTGCCAGTCCCGTATCTCCACAGCCTGCCAGTCCCGTATCTCCACAGCCTGCCAGTCCCGTATCTCCACAGCCTGCCAGTCCCGTATCTCCACAGCCTGCCAGTCCCGTATCTCCACAGCCTGCCAGTCCCGTATCTCCACAGCCTGCCAGTCCCGTATCTCCACAGCCTGCCAGTCCCGTATCTCCACAGCCTGCCAGTCCCGTATCTCCACAGCCTGCCAGTCCCGTATCTCCACAGCCTGCCAGTCCCGTATCTCCACAGCCTGCCAGTCCCGTATCTCCACAGCCTGCCAGTCCCGTATCTCCACAGCCTGCCAGTCCCGTATCTCCACAGCCTGCCAGTCCCGTATCTCCACAGCCTGCCAGTCCCGTATCTCCACAGCCTGCCAGTCCCGTATCTCCACAGCCTGCCAGTCCCGTATCTCCACAGCCTGCCAGTCCCGTATCTCCACAGCCTGCCAGTCCCGTATCTCCACAGCCTGCCAGTCCCGTATCTCCACAGCCTGCCAGTCCCGTATCTCCACAGCCTGCCAGTCCCGTATCTCCACAGCCTGCCAGTCCCGTATCTCCACAGCCTGCCAGTCCCGTATCTCCACAGCCTGCCAGTCCCGTATCTCCACAGCCTGCCAGTCCCGTATCTCCACAGCCTGCCAGTCCCGTATCTCCACAGCCTGCCAGTCCCGTATCTCCACAGCCTGCCAGTCCCGTATCTCCACAGCCTGCCAGTCCCGTATCTCCACAGCCTGCCAGTCCCGTATCTCCACAGCCTGCCAGTCCCGTATCTCCACAGCCTGCCAGTCCCGTATCTCCACAGCCTGCCAGTCCCGTATCTCCACAGCCTGCCAGTCCCGTATCTCCACAGCCTGCCAGTCCCGTATCTCCACAGCCTGCCAGTCCCGTATCTCCACAGCCTGCCAGTCCCGTATCTCCACAGCCTGCCAGTCCCGTATCTCCACAGCCTGCCAGTCCCGTATCTCCACAGCCTGCCAGTCCCGTATCTCCACAGCCTGCCAGTCCCGTATCTCCACAGCCTGCCAGTCCCGTATCTCCACAGCCTGCCAGTCCCGTATCTCCACAGCCTGCCAGTCCCGTATCTCCACAGCCTGCCAGTCCCGTATCTCCACAGCCTGCCAGTCCCGTATCTCCACAGCCTGCCAGTCCCGTATCTCCACAGCCTGCCAGTTCAGCGTCTCCTCCTCAAGCGGCTTCCATATCCAGTAAGTTATACTATTTTATACATGTCTAATTTTTTATCGATGCAACTAAAGGGGGGAGTTCCGTATCGTGATCTGTGGCAGAATAATCGCTAAGTCTTGGAAACTTCCGTGCAGGGGCCCCGCGAGAAACTTAAAAAAAAGAAAAAAAATACATCACAGAAAGGGGCCAGCTCGAAAGGTATAACTCGCAGCCATCCCCGGGCAAACATCTACACGTTTTGTTTTAATTGCAAGTTTGAAATCTATTTGGCACCTTGGCGATTATAGTTGGCGCAACAGATCACGATACGGAAATATCCCCAAACTAAACTTCTTCGTGCGATATCCCAAAAAGACATTTTTCGAAATTTAAAGGAAAAAACAACAACAAAAAACAATTTTAAATGTCGATCAATATCTTTCAGCTTTTATAAACGTTGTTGATTTCTGATCAATATTGTCAACATGATTTTCACAAAACGATTGTTGTGGAATGCACCACCAAGCGTCACCATTGTGTTATAAGCAAAAAATAAAAGAAAAAGCGCTTGAAAAATTTTCTAGACTGTTTGTACTCTAGAAAAATGAAAAACAATTTTCATAATAAACCATTCCTAATAAGACCATTTCTAGCTAGTTTTCAAAAAAAAAAAATAAATAAATAAATAAATAAATAAATAAAAAATAAAATAAATAAAATATTAATAAAAGAAATAAAGTACCAATTATTCATTCAAAACTTTTTATTAGTTATGACATATATATTTATATGTGCCACACTGCGATATTTACATTTGTTATTACACATATATTTACACTGCTACAGACAATTTTTTTTTTTTTTAAGAGGATAAAGCTTTTTCTATGGATGGTGTTATCTACACAGGCGGTTTTTACTTATTAGACTTCCGTGTTACTGTCGCTGTATACTTTGAAGCCATTTAGCTCAAATCGTAATCATTGCGTTCTCAGATCTTCTAGGGTAGTATTTTTTGTATTTATTATCTGATTTATTAGTGGTGTTTTTTTTAAAAAAAAGGAATGGTATTGAGTATTGTCATTTGAAGACCTGCCGTTTCAAGACGTAAGAATCGTTATTAAAAGAAGAAGAAAAAATCGTTATAAGACACTTTATTACTTTGTCAACAATGCAATAACTTCGAAATTAAATCCTGAATGATAGTTTTTAAAATTAATTTAATCTCGCTGTTCAAACAGTATGCTACTAACACGATGGTTCGACGACTTGCAACAAGAAAAAAAAAACTAATAAACAAGGAACAGGAGTCCGAATCGGGACTGACATAAAGAGAGAAACCATGTAAACCTTTTTTAAATACATCCATAAATGATTATTTGTGGGTAATTTCGCATTTATGGGAATGAAAGGTAGCAGAGATAAATATTGCTTTGTTTTGAGCAATTGTTTTCTCTTTATAATTCTTCAATAGTGCAGGAATACCTAATGTGACTTAATGAATTGAACCATTATTAATTAAATAAAAAGTTCAGATAGCCTTTTAAAATAAGAGTTTATTTTAAAAGGCGCCCATAAAATGAATTTTAAAATAAGAGTTTATTATTAAATAAACATAACTAGTAAATATAAGTAAGTGAGTCCTTTTTAATAAGATGGAGGATAGATGATTAGTGAAGTGAAACTTATTAAAAGCTTTACATTACATAATTAAACAGCGCCATCCAGTGGCTAAAATAATAAACAGTGAATCATTGAATAGGAAGTTTAGTGACGAAATATCTATTTTATAACAAATTTTCACTTCCAAGACACTAGAATTACCTAACAATAATCTTAAGAAATATTACAGATTTGAGCTAAAAAATTATATAAGTTATTGTTTTATCAAAAACTGAACTATCTCATTAAAAATATCGTTCCGCAGAATAATCTGCAGTAAGCAAACTGAATATTTTCAAAATGGAAGTCTAGCAGGTCAAGAGTTGTTTATATTTGTAATTGAAAACATCATCCTTTATAAACTATTCCATTGTGTTTATGTACGTCTGGATAAGAGACGGTCCTGCATATATGTTACTACCATGAGACTAATAAAGGATCTCTCAAATGGTAAAATCATACTCACTATGAAACCTGTCTGATTTAGTCCCTCAGCACGTAATTGAAAAGAAGGAATGTTGGCTAATTATTCCTACATTTGGACATAATAGAAAAACAATATTTTTTGAAGTCATAAAATGCATTTTGAGCTGACACCCGGAATTTCACATTTTCCTCGCAGCAGCGAAATTTAAAACAAACGTTGACTACCGTTAATAACGAAATTACTTTCTAAAAAAAATTGAAAATGGAATAAATATTTCCGACATCAACACACTCATTTTTTCATTCGTAGTTATCATCATTAAAGCATAACATGTTTGGAAAAATTTTAGAATATTTTGAGCAATGTTTAATAATTTCGATTAAATACTTTATAACTTAGTATGCTAATCAATAAACAACTTATAACTTAAACTTGCAGTACGTATTATTGGTAAAAGGCTTAAATTTTTCTTCAAACTTCAAAAATTTGTTAATTGTGTTCTTTGTCGAATTTGCGTCAATTAAATCTGTTCTTTTTAATTCATTATTTTCCGCATCTTCCTCTGATGCCTTTTCATCTGTCAAAATTAAATTATTCGCATCAATATTTCTATCGGAGAGAACTGTTTCTTCTTGGCCATGTTGGTCAGTATTATTTTTAATTTCCTCTTTGTTTTTAAAGCTTTAAAAAAAAGATTTTATGAGACATAATTAACTTAAAGCCAGCAAAGCTGACTAGTGTTTAATAAGGTTAATTTTTCGAATTATAGGATTTAGTTAATAAGGCAATATCAACAGATAATTTTCTAGAACTTAGCTAGTCTATATACCTTAAATCAATTTACGATATTTTCACATCGTTACATATCATGGGCATTTAATCAAATGGAAAATTAATGCTGTAATTACTTATTGCCCAAATTTATCTTTTTAAATGAATAAAAGTAGATTTTTCATGCTTGCTTTTCATAGCATCTCTCATGGAATTCTCTTATTAAAATGTTTTCGACTAGAAAATTCAAAAATAAATATGCAGTGTATTATTGCGAGCTAGTGCAAATTTCAAATGAAAAAAAAAATTGGAGAATAATTTGATCTATAATTCTATTTAGAGGAGTTCATCGTATTTTTACTGGTTTGGTAAGAGTTCATTCAAGTAATTCTACTTCTATTCCGTTCTATAACTTTCCTTTTCTATTTCACAATTAAATAAAATCTATTCTTATAAATTTGCTTTGTTATTCCTTTCAAAATGTGTTGAATAGTTATAAAAACAAATGGTTCATTTCCTTTATGATACTAAAACAAATCATGAAGTCACTTTAACATATATATGCAAATCAAGCAGTTTTAAAAGAATATATCACAATAAAAAAAAAAATCTTTCGGTTAAAAATAAAACGTTATTTTCTTAAATCTATATATTAATAGGCTAGCAATATTTTGTCTCGCTAAAAACTCCCAAACTGCAATAAGGTCATGTGCAATAAGGTCTTAAATTATGAAAATTTCCTTTAATTAATAAAACTAATAATTTAGTTTAACCAATTCAGCAAATCATTTTTCGGGTGGTTCGCATAAGCATTGTTTCCGTAAGCATCGTTTGATTTAAAGCATTTCTGAATTAATAGATTGATAAACAAAAGTAAGAGTGGATAAAAAAAAACGGAACTGAATTTCTTAAAAAAAGAATTCAATATCTTTAGTTCCTTTGATAAATTTTTAGTTTCATGATAAATTTTTTGTTTCGTTACAATAGAATGGCAATGGCATCGTGCGAATATTCAAACCAAAACAAACGTGCGAATATTCAAACCAAAACAAACTTTCTACAAACAATTATTTTGATTTGAGATTTAAAACGATATCTTAGTTATTTAGTTCTATTTTTATTTATTTAGTGCCTGCTGCCTAAATAAAATGCCTGCTATCAGGCGTCGAAATATCTCTGGCAGACGTCAGAGAAATGAATGGCGGAATTCTAAACGGGANTTTGTATTATTGTTTTTAAAATTTGTATTAGTATACGTGTTAAATAAATTTTTTTAAAACAACCAAATTTAAAAATATTTTGAAAAATTGAAAAAGCGAAAGAAACGTTGGTGTTGGTTGATTTTGCGCCTTTTTCAAATAATGCGCCCATGGCTCTTGCCATGCCTGCCATACCCTAGATACGCCACTGGGCGGAACCCCCTAGTAATATTTTAATAAAAATTCTCATATACAAACTCCCCTGTATAAACTTGTTATTTTTCATCTCGTTTGTTTAATTTCGCGTTTCTTGTTTCCTTATAGGTCGCAGGTCCTCAACCGATTCTTCTGCTTCGTACGCTAGTTCCGTCAAGCCTGATGTAAAAGGCAGACGGCGTACGGAAGCAGAGAGATTGCGCAAGTTTACGAAGAAAATCGGTATCAGAATCAGTCAACGATTCATGGAGAGGACGAAACCGAAGCTGAGGAAAAGGAACCCCAATCTTTCCTACGCCGGTATGTGAGATGAAAATGGATTAGGATATGTGAGATGACAATGGATTAGGATATGTGAGATGACAATGGATTAGGATATAAGGATTATGGTTTATCGGATTTGGATTAAAAATGAAATATAAGGTGGCAACAAGGAGTAAAAATGGAGGTGATTTCAGAGGCCACAGAATCTCCAGTCTTTCTGAAGGTAAATAAATGCATTAAATGTTTTTCTAAATATTGTTTTTTCCGACCTTACAAGGTCGGCAGTATCTTTCACAACATGATGTAGCACTAAACTAAATGACACTCAGTTAAAGTATTGTGAATAAAATTTGAATTTTTATTTTTATTTTATAAAAAATGAATTTTGAGTATATTACAATAAAGAAAAAAATCTTATTGCTTGCAAAAGATAGATTGCTGAAATGTTTTACTTTATATTTCGTATAGAAAGTTAAATTTATAAAACAATAAGTAGGAATTTCAAAGAACAATTTTATTTGATTACTACAAAGAAAAT